AAAAGTATAGTTTTTCTTTACAAAGTCAAGTCTAAATTATTAAGTCAAAATAATGAATTTGGTATCTTTGATTTCACCGAATAGCTATAAAAAGTAATACTAACAATTTAGCATGTTGACCAAAATGAAATTCTTACCAAATAGTTACCATATTCACCAAACAGTTAACTATTTAAAAGTTAGGTCTCGTTGACCTCTTACTATACACGAATGTAAATAAGAGGAGATCTCTTCTCCGTGAGTAATACCCAACATGACATTTAAAATGAATATAGAATCTATTTTTTCATTGTTTAATATTGTATCAGTACTGTTCTTGATCATTACCACTCAAGTTAGGGCTCGTGGTGGTAGACCGTTTGATGAAAACTATGTCGTTAAGTGGGGACAAGTCTTGAAACTCAATCAAGGGAAAGAAGTTGAACTCTCCATGGATCGTTCTTCAGGTCCATTGATTTCTTTCTCTCAAAATACGACATCGTTTTGATATATGTCAAATCATTTAACCAGTCTAATAGGGCGGAAAACCGATACATTGGAAAAATGTTATTGGATTCAAATTAATTTGCTATTATATAAATATATATGATATAAAATCTTCACAAAACATCCAAATAGTTTGAGATGACCTGATTATAAAATACAAACAGGTTCTGGCTTTGAGTCTAGAAGCCACTACGGATCAGGATACTTCCAAATGAGAATCAAATTGCCTCCAAAAGATTCCGCAGGCGTCGTTACCGCATTCTACGTACATTTCCCATTGAGTCTATACATCCTTGCAATTTTTTTGCTTCTTCTTTTCATTACATAGTTTCCAACATTCATTATGAATTGGTTTGTTTTATAAACTTTTGTAATTTTTGTTACAGTTGACCTCGAAGGGAAACACCCACGACGAGATTGATTTTGAGTTCTTGGGGAATAGAGAAGGAAAACCGATTGCAATGCAAACAAATGTGTTTGCCAATGGCCAAGGAAATAGAGAACAAAAGTTTGTTTTTTGGTTCGATCCCACCGCAGATTTCCACACTTATGGGATTCTCTGGAATCCATATCATATTGTGTATGTTTTTTCCCCCTCTTTTCCTCTCATGCATCCCCTTATGAGAAAATTATTCACACACAATTATTTGCATACACACACAATTATTAAACAGGAGAATGGAAATTTTTGAAAAAGTATAAAAAAAAAAAAAGAATGGAAAATTTTCTTTAACTTAAAGATATGAACCGAACCAAACTCAAATAAATCTTACGGAGATGTTCATCTTTGATAATCTCCCAATAAAATCAATTATAAACCTAGTTTTCTTTTCCAAAACTTATTTGATCAAAAAAAATATTCATTTCAAAATAGATAATATTATGGTTAATCGGCATTCGGACAACATGTGGGATATTATTACTTTATCGTTAATTATTCAAATAATAATAAATTGAAAAGAATCGACTGATTTTTGGCATTTTTTTTGTTGTTTTTGAAACTTGATTTTTTTTGCATTGAGAATAGAAAACATCTTTTCTATTAAAACAAAGAGTTCTACTCTATTATTTTGGAATACTAGATAAGCAAATCGAAACATAATATTCATTTCACGTTTACATTTATAAACAAACATGATGATTTGATTATAGGTTTTATGTGGACAAAATACCAATAAGGGTATTCAAAAATGACAAAAGATATGGCGTGAGCTATCCATCAAAGCCCATGCAAGTGGTGGCTAGTCTGTGGAACGGCGAGGACTGGGCAACAAATGGTGGTAGAGACAAGATTAATTGGGCCTATGCTCCTTTTAAGGCCAATTTTCAAGGTTTTTCCGGTTCTGGTTGTCACGCGGATGGTCAAAGCATTAATGCGAAAAGTTGTGGTTCGACAATGTACTGGTGGAACGCAAGGAAGTATAGTAGGTTAAGTGCAATCAAACAGAAGGAACTCAGGAATGTGAGAGCAAAGCACATGAACTATGATTATTGTTCAGATCGGGCTAGATTTCCTGTTCCTCCTGTTGAATGTCGATGGAATCAGTAATGTATATTGAAAAACTTTGTTCATTAAAGGCAAATAATTGAGTAATACTTGATATCTTATATATATCCATCCAAGTTCTCTTAATCTTTAACAAAATATATAATTGATTAGTAATATGTTCTATTATGATCAAGACTTGCAAAATATTCAC